GAATTTATGCCGCTACTCACCCAACAATATCCGATTACAATGTACCATTAGCTGTTTCATCCATTTATCCATATGCTCATAACCAAATATATCATTCAATATATCATATGAGGTATCTGCTGTTGATTTTTTAAATATGCCATAGAACAGGGAACACAAAGTCTGCATGCTATTGCACAAACGTTTGGGATGATCTAAACAAATGAAAAAAAATATTAACAAATCTAGCCACACCCTGTTGCTCTTAGTTTTCCCACAACATACTGTGAAGTTTTTGTTGCTTTAACTACAACTTGCTCCTCTCTACTCACCGGTATCCAACATTTCTATACATTTCTGGAAAATCATATTCAAATTTGGCTTTACCACAGCGAATTGTTCACCCGTCAACTTGGTAATTTCACCCTCCAACACCTCAACATTGGGTTGCAACAAAAAGAATTCATTCCAAAATTCTGAATGTTCAGGACGACGTTCTTGACTAGGATCTTCACCACGAAAGAATAACTCATAGATGTAGACGACCTTTTCTTTGGGTCTCTTTGAGGAACCGCTACCACTGCGTTACGCGATGTCATATTTGTTAAACAAAATTAATAGGGGGCTATTGTATTTTAATGGTTTGTTTTAATAGTTTTCTTTCAAAGAATCTGGGGAAACTATCCTTTATTCGTGCTTTCTTTTGTGTGTCGCAGTCAATTGAAAACGTCATTTATTTGCCTTGCTAAAGCGTTGGTAGGTTATGTGTTGGCTTTGTGATTTTCGTTTGACAGTCAACAGCTGTTCTCGTATTACATGTTGATTAAGGGTTATTTAGATTTAAAGATTTATAATTGAAGTGCTGTTATGTATGAAAATAATTATTTTTTTTAATTACCAAAACAAATTAAACACACTAATAGAGGCTTTTTCAATGTAATAAATCCAGAAAAGTGGCGGTTGCATAAAAATTAAGAAAAAAAATTCATCAAAGGAAGTTAGAAAGAAGTGAGAAATTTAAACTTCGTATTAAATAAGAAAAATACAACTCTGTATTAAAGTTTATTATTATTTTAAATAGATTTTTAAAGCATGCAACTATTTGTTTCGATTGCTTCAAAATTTTTATAAATAGAAAAAAGAAAAAACATAAGTGAAATGTTGGCATTTATTTTTATAAAATTAAATTTAAACATGAACTTCAGCAGAATATGAAAATATTTATGTTTATTTTGTATATACCATGGTAGAAGAATATAGATAGACGCATCGACACAGCTGCTGGGACAATGAACTGTCAAAACAATTTTTGAATTGAAAATGTTGAATGAAAAATTATTTAAATTTGTAAAAATTGATGAAAAACGCGAATTATAATGACCTCCGAATGACGTCGTATAAGAAAACATTTAAAAATCTACTTATATTTGAAAACACATTTAAAAATTTTTGACATATCAATGTTTCCAAGCGTTGATGCATCTACCTGTATTTTTCTACCATGGTATATACAAAGACTGCGTATATGTTTTGACATTACAAGGAAATTGTGGATTCAGATCATTTATATGACTTACATTGTAAGGGATTGCATAATAGGTCTGACAAGACCACTGAACGAATTTCCTTCAAAAAAGTTCAAGTGTGACCTATTGTCAAAAACAGATGTGCGTTGACACGACCTAAGGAAGTTTAGCGGAAACGGTTCCTGACTGTAGACCTATTATTACGAGCCGAAGGAACTCTTGCCAAAAAACTGATTTGGGTTATTCTACCAGCAACCAAGCTTAAATGAAATTTAAAATATTTTCTTTAGGAAGCAGAGTTTTTTCACACAAACTACATTACGCTGATTAATATTAAAATTACGGGAAATGGTCCGCCAAATAACAATGTTGTATTAAGAGGGGGAGATTACCGAGATTACCCAACACAAATGAAATTCAGAGATTTTCATTTATATTTTGTGATAATACAATTAATAATGCATTTACCTCAAGACAGACATCGGCATGAGCTTAATTCAATTTAGTTTATTCTCAGAGCTTGCGATAATAAAGTAACCATTGATCCCGAACTGCAGCAGTTCATATTCGAAATGTTGTCATGGTTTAATCGTATACAATCAACCATTATCATAGGATGTTTGAATATTTTCATTTACTGTATGTTTGCTGCTGTAATTTTGGAAAATTTGGAATATGATCGATTTCATGAGTATGACTATGATGACTATAGTGACATATACAAGAGTTATGAACAGCGGGAACATCGAAAATTATATTGTATGATCTATGTGATTATGTGTGGAATAATGATGTTGCTATCGGCTTTGCTGATATGGGGCACTGTGAAGGTTAAAATTGTGAAGATTTTGTAAATGTATATTAACGTTTTACTAAAATATAGAAACGACCCCCATACATGGCCCCTTGGCTCTTGGGTTCATTTGTTGTCTTGGTGTATAGCAGCATCGTGGTTTTAGATGATATATTTTTAAAATCCTCGTTTGTGGGTGTGGCCAATGCGTTTTTATTTTTCACTATACTTTTCATTGTGTTTGGTAAGAATCAAATCGAATCAAACAATTTTTATTTAAATAATAAATTATTTTTTCTAATACTTTTAGGTTTCCAGACATTTTGTTTGGCCCTGGTGTACAGTGTATACAGGAACTTTCAATTGGAAATTGCTTTAAAATATTCACGAAAGCAATTGCATGAGGAGATCCAGCAAGAGTGCTTGGAAGAAATTGCCCCAACATTGGCGACAGAGATAAAATCAGAATCAAAATTGAAAGCAACAAGAAAAAATCGTATAGGAAGTTAAAACAAAAATAAATTGTTGCCGTAATTGTGGATTATCTAAGGTTATTTTAAATACCATCATTTCCATGGTAGAAATAAGAAGGTGAACTCGTGAAATCATATGTTTACAATTTTTTCTAAATTATATGACATCTCATTCTCAAAATGTATATTTATGAAAATTCAAATGGAAAATTATAGGAAAATTTAGAGCAATACAAATACGAACAATATAAAGTTGTTTGAATTAATTCTACCAAGACCATTTGTTAATGACTTATATATGTGAAATAATTGTAATCAAAAATTTAGTCAATATTTATATATTTTTTATACCCTCAGCCATAAGGCTAGAGAGGGTATATATCATTTGATACGGCCAAAGCGTGCCTCATCGTCGGTCTGTCTGGCTGGCTGGTGCGCACGATAACTCTCGAAGAGGATATTCGATTTGATCCAAACAAGGTACATCGTAATATTATTATCAAACTTAGATCGAGTTCGGAGATGGGTAATATCAGTCCACTCCACAAAGGGTTCAAATTTTCAAAGAAAATAATTTACTGCACAGAAAGAGAAAAGATAATCCGATTTTGCTCCAACTTTGCAAATCCTAACATTTGCATTAGTGCTACGTCATGTGCGAAAATGGACCACATCTGTCCATTCCATCCAGTACCTCCCCCATAAATGGTTAACATTTTGAGGATTTTAATTATAACTCTTATAAAATGCGATATAGGTGTCCGATTGCCTTCAAATGACACACATCGCAATATTCTTGTTCACCCAAGGTCTGGTGTGAAGATGGAATATATTGGTCCACTCCTTCTGGTACCTCCACAAAGGGTCAAAATTGTGAATATTCATGAAGCTCATAAAACGCGAAAATCACATCTGATTCCATTCAGACTTGGCACATTTAATATTTTCATAAGCTAAAGATCTGTTATAAAGATGGAAGAGATCGGACCATTTCTTTTGGTACCTCCGCCACAAAGGGTCAACATTTTGAATAACAAAAACAATCATAAAATCCAAAATAAGCATCCGGTTCTCTTCAAATTATACACATCACAATATTTTTATTATACCAAGGTCTGGTGTGAAGTTGGGATATATGGGTGCACTGCTTCTGGTACCTCCCCTACAAAGTGTCAAAATTTTGAGTATCAATGAAGATTATAAAATGGGAAATTAACATCCGATTCCATTCAGACTTGGTACATCTCAATATTTTCTTCAACACTAGATCTGTTAAAAAGACGATAGAGATAGGACCATTTCTTCTGGTACCTCCCCCACATAGGATTCAAGATTTTCCAAAACAAAACGCTCAAAGAAAGCGAAATAAGCATTAAATTCTCTTAAAATGTCACACATACAAGTATTTTCGCTAACGGAGAATCTGTTGTGAAGATGATATATATCTTCGAACCCTTTCAGGTACCTAACCCACAAAGAGTCATAATTTGCAAAGCTTCTATCTGTCATAACTTGCGAAATAAGTTGGCGATTCTATACAACTTGCTATATCTACAGTCTTTAATAAATCAGCGAATCTTGCGAAAAAAGTTGGCGATTCTCTTAACAAGAAATCTGATATGATTATGTAATTTATTGGAATTTATGATTTCGCATAAAATTGGATATAAATGTTCGATTTCCTTCAAATTTTGCACTACCAATATTTTTATCTGTATTAGATTAAGTATGAAAATGGAATACTTCGGTCTGCTATATCTGTTACCTCATGTGTATTTCCACATATCTCAAAAGTAAAGGAATTAGTCGATATAGACCATATCTGGCACTTTGTAATATTTATATCATGATTTACATTCAAACGAATATATATTTTTCCTTAAAACAATTTTTTAGAGCATATTTTTTGTAATCTCAGAATTTGCTTTGGAATTATTTTGGCAGAAAAAATCGCGGATTTATTAAAGACTGTCGAAAAAATGTTAATATTTAAAACCCCCCATAAGGGGTTAAGATATATATTTCTTGGAAACAACAACTTGATAAAAAAGTTTGAGAAGATTGGAATACAAACAAATAGACATACACAGCATACAAATATGTTTCAATACGTAAACATCACACACCATTTCATGCCACTCTCTCGAACACGTAATGTCCATAATTTGTTTGTTTTTTATTTATTTACTTGCTATTGTTTGGATTTAAAGCTTCCATTGTTTATTGCTGTGTTCGGACGATTGGTTTCTCGGCCAGGCTTTGGCCGGCTGCTGATCATTAATTTGCGTGTATAAAATCAACAACAGCAAAGCTTTCAGGTTTAGTTGAGATTGAAGTGTAACCTCGCTTTGAACTTGTTAGCCATAGCTGTGATTTATTTATTTATTTTCTGAAAAAAAGTGACCGATATTCAAACAAACAAACAAAGATGCGTTTTGCTTTGGGATTTTTCTTGGGTAATTATAAATTATATACTATAGTATACAAATAAATAATCCTATGCCATATGTCTAGTGCGTAGATAAGACATCAAAATGGATGGTTTTGTTCTGGTTTTTAGAATTTCAATAAAAATTACCATAATTACATTAGTGATTCAAAATGTCTGGTCAAGACCATCACGTACCCACACACCTGATAATTATGTCTGTACTTAAATGCTTAATTGTTTCAATTGAAAAAAAAAGATATGATAACATCAACTAAATTAATGTACAAAACAAATTTTTAATTGACTGTGTGCAAAATGCTTATCATCCATCCGTTTGTGAATATGCCAAGTTTTCACTCTGCTGATGATTAATTCAGTGGAAATTTAAGTTTTAATTATTCGCGCATTAAAATCCAGAGTATTCTACTATTTCGATTTAAATTAACGTACACTGGCCAACAAACAAAAAAACCTGATCCAAATTTCTATACAAAAAAATGGAAATGCAAACTCAATTCGATATCTAAAAAACTTCTTAATTGGCCTTGCATCTAATGATAACGCCTTAATGGTTTTCCATCTACAAGAGAAGAACTGTGAAGAATCAGTCTTCCATCAACACCCAGGGCCCTTCTCCCTACAAAAGACTTCAAGATAAATCTTTTATCCTCTCCTGTTTGGAATTCTTCTATTGCCATAAATTTCTCGATTAGGTTCCTTTAGATGTCTTCTTGGTTTGGCTGTGCAGCTACACAGATGTTGACAGCTTCTTCGCTTGAAGTTGTGTCCACTTAGAAAGAATAATAAGACATAGGAGGAGGAAAGGTATATAACTAGAATAGAAGAGTTTGACTCCTGTTTTATAATTTTTATCTGTAGAAAATTTCTTGATAGATCTTGAATCTAAAGATAACGCTAAAGAATCAGTCTTCCATAAACAAAATGCCTTTCTGTCTACAACAGACCTCAAAAGAAATATTTTTTAGGAGGACATCTATTGAGAATTCTCCTATGGTCATAAAATCCTAGATTATAAATGTGTTCTTAGTTTGAATGCCCAGCTACATAAGAATCGACAACCATTGACTATATTCTAGAAAGGATAATCAGAAATCTTACGGAAAAAATATGTTGAGGTTTGAAGAGATGTTTTTGTATAATGGTTTACATAACCAGGAGAGGTTTTTAGCAAACATACATATGCAGCATCAGTGCCTTCATCCATCTGGGAACCATCTATGTAGATAGCAAGACCTCCCAAGTATTATTACATAGGTGTAGTTGAAGTCCAAAAAGGTGGGCATGTAATCATTAATTCAGCTTTAGCTTCACCAAAAATATTTCGACTTCATTATCAAAGGGCGAAAAGTACCATCCCTTCACTATCCGTAGTCTTGGCGCACTCTTCTATTAACAAACGATTTTTGTGAGAGACTTATAGAAAAAAGGCCTGTTGAGAGTTCTTTAATCCATGGAAGATTTCTTTAATCCATGGAAGAGTTCTTTAATCTACGGAAGACCTCTTCAAGGGTCACATATCTCTAGAAATCAAGTCCCATTGAAATCAAAAGTATATTTGAAGGATTTAAGAGGCTTTGTTCTATTGACACCCTAAAAGGCATTCTTTTCCAGAAAACATTTTGAAAGGATATCCCTAGAAGACCTCTTTAAGAGTCTTGAATCTGGCATTTCTCGAGAATTACCGTCCTTGAAGTGGGAGGATGTACATATTGAATACACGTATTCTTCATACAGAAGACTCCGCGGTCTTTAGATGACTCCGGTAGAGTCTTCTATCTCTAAAAGATTCATTTAAAAAGTTTATAACTTTCCAGAAGCAAACTTTTTACCAGGGAATTTTTAAAAGTTGAAGACGTCGCAATATTTCTCTCATAACTGAAAAATCTTACATGGCCCTGCTATAGGTAGAATACCTTTGCAAATATTTTCTTAGTTAGGAACCTCTTTGGTATTCGTTAATGATCGAAGTACTTTCAATGCCTTCTAACCAACAGGTTTTCTTTTTAACAGAAACAAATACACAAGTTTTTCCCGGATAACATTGTATCCTTTAAGAGGCCTTCTCTACAAAGAATGGATTTTGCAATATCTTCACCCTAACAAAGAAATTCTACAAATTTTTGATAGATTTTGAGTCGATAGAAGAATTTTTGGATCCCTCGAAAGAATTAAGATATTTAAAGACTATTGAATAGAAAATCTATAGAAAAGGTATCTTGAGTTATCTTCTTTCCGTATACGCCTTACAAGCCGTGTAGTCGGTATTTGAAAGGCATCTTCCCTCCCACCAGGTTTTCTGTTAAAAGAAACCCTTCTACAAGTCTTTCTCTGGATTCAATTGTTTCAAAGCCTCCTCTTCTTGAAAGGCATTTTACGACAATTTTTCTTTACAAAGGAATTTTGAATATATTTTTTTGAACGTTCCAGCGATAAATTTTCTCTAGAGCGGAGTTTCTTTTGCAGGATTACTGCAAAAAATTAGGGTATGGAATACACTTAAAAGGCTTTCAATCTGTAAATCTTTCTCTGTGGAGGCCCTTCCATCTCTTCTATCTTAAACGTATTATTTCTATTTGAGATCCTTTGAAATTCCTTCACTTTATTATAGTTTTATATGACCACAACTGAAAATATTTTTACTTCCAGTAATTTGCTTGGTGGCCATGGCAGTTGCTGTACCCGCCAAAAATAAGCAAGCTCCTGCCTGCTCTGCAAACTGTGGTGAGAAATACGAACCAATTTGTGCCAAGGCCAAAAATGGTAATAAGGAACGCCTCCTGACCTTTGGAAATGAATGTGTTATGGGCAACTACAATTGTCAACACAGTGATGATCGTAAGTCAATAACAAATAATACAGCAAAAGACAGAAAATTAATTATACATTTCTTTCTTACAGCCTATGAAGTCAAATCCAAGGGCGAATGTGGTGGCAATGTCAGTGTCCGTTTATCCTAAATATTTATGACAAAAATTTGGCATGAAAAATAACAATAAAAAATATATGATTTTTTTTTAACAATTAAAGCATATAATTTATTTTTGTATTGATGTTTTGTTTTATTTTGTCAGGCTTATTATGAAGAAAAGTTGAAGTATTTGCGTATATTTCTATGCAAAACGATTTTCATATATAAGTGGCATATCAAATATGACAACGTTCTGTTTTCTGTACATCCTTAAATCAGACTTAAGCTTTTCATCTTCTTCATCATCATCAAAAAAATCCTTAATGTATATTCATCTTAAATAGTTAGCATTAAAGAAAACTTTCCACGAAAGCCCTTCTTTTATACACATTTCATTTTTTTGTTTTTCTACAAAAATATTTTGTCAACAAGTTTTGTAACTACGCATACACTATGAGTACTAAATAACTAGATAATTTTCGTTTTTTTTTTTGTTTTGCTCTGAAGAAAGATCAAATAAAAATTTCGTTCTCCTTTTTGAGGTTGAATTTTCTAGATTTTTATTTCACAATTTACTTGTCGTCCTTCTTCTTTTGTTGCTTGACTTTGTAATCGGCCAAAGCCGCCTTAATGGCATCCTCAGCCAACATTGAGCAATGCAATTTGACGGGAGGCAAGCGCAGCTCCTTAGCAATGTCGGTATTTTTCAATTTGCCAGCTTCATCGATGGTCTTGCCCTTAACCCATTCGGTGGCCAAAGAACTGCTGGCAATGGCTGAGCCGCAGCCAAAGGTTTTAAATTTAGCATCGATGATTTTGCCATTTTCATCGACTTTAATTTGCAATTTCATCACATCGCCACAGGCTGGAGCACCCACAAGACCTGTGCCAACTGTCGAGTCTTTTTTATCTAAAGAACCAACATTACGTGGATTTTCGTAGTGTTCAACCACCTAGAAGAGATAGACAGTAAAAAAAAGAATTAAAAATATATTTTAATAATTTATGTGTTTAAAAAACCAACAAAACAAAGTACATGAACTTTATCAGTAGAAGACACGTTGTGATAATACATTTGTTTACAAAATAAAATAGCATGTAGAAAATGGAAAAAGGGAGAACAATTGGTCGAATAATATCAACAGATGTAGGGAAGTCTATAAACCCTTTAGTTGTTTAATTAATTATACGAAATATTCTTTATTTATACATTTAATGTAAGACTTGGAAGAACATATGTTGTTACGTATATTTGAATTTTGATTTTTTTAGTATTAAAATTTTACCCGTCAATCAAAATATTATCTCGTATGAGTGCAACATTTGAGTTATATTGCGTATTAAATTTGTTGAAATGTACTTAAAGTGCACTTTAAAGGGCCAAAAAGGAGTTCTATCCGCAGCGAAACTATATAAATTCTACAATTTTAAGATATTTACAATTCCTTTTGGAGCTATATACCTATCGAAACCATGTCGTTTTGTCAATACAACAAACATATGTATCTATAAAGGCCCTTATATTTATAGAATGTTTGTAAAGGGTAACAATTTAAAAATCTTCGGTCTGTAAATTACCATTGTTGTGGTTCCTATTTTTACAAAACCTACTTAATGTGATTAATCAAAACATATTACACTATTGTACGGAAGTCGAAACCTTTGGTCTTATGTCGTATGTATATAAATAAGTTTTAGTGGAACCTTTTTTCAACAATTTTTTTTGCGGAGTCATTCTCGATTTGTGTAGAAATGCCTACAAACCCACCTCCTTTGGTCGGTTCCGCACCGAAATTAACTGCACCTATTCCTTGTCTCCCCATTGGAACTCCCACCTTCTAATTTTGATAAATTGCCAATAACCAAAACAACAGCCGGCAAATAGGCCTTCACAACGTTTTTTTATCCCAATCACTATTCCTCTGTATAGAGTATATAACAGGCATGTTGACTAAAAAAGACCTTGAAATTTCACAGCGGCACTTTAGAGCAACAATAAACTACAACAACAACAAGCCAATCACACTATCGAATATAAAAGGGAATATTTTTACTTTTGGGAATCTATCAACAAAGAATACTTACATTCTCGTGATATAATGCGACGGGAATACTTTGAACACGTCTCAAAGGAGCTTGCAAAAGGCGTGATACTCTGGTCAATGATGACATTGTATCGATTGATTGCGAATTTTAAAAACGAAAAATTTCTTTTCACCAGGAAAATTGGAAAATATTGTGAAATACAAAATGTTCTTTCGGTCGATTCTTGTTACGCGCAGTTATTTATTTTTCCAACGTTCTATAAGAATCCAGAGTTTATCAATCTCAGAGAATGAAGGCGGCTAGGAGGCTAACGCCGTTGAATTAAGCTGTAGCTGTGGAATTTGTTCTCTATATTTGTGTTTACAGGGAATAAATTATTTGTACATGTTAAGCCGTAAATAGACGGTGATAGATTACAGAAAAATTTAAGATTATCGAAACGAAAGGACATGTACTTTCCGTAACCCTTTTCGCCCAATTTACACGCGTGAGATGTGATAAAATGTATTGTGCTTAAATATCTAGAATATGTACTAGACATTGAGTGAAAATTAGTTTTTATGTCTTTGTTTCTATTTATATTTGCTTTGTTTCAGACACAGCAAGAATCTTCTAGTTTTGCAATTGGTTCCGATTTTTCCTTTATGATATCGGAGAAAATTGGAACAAAGTAAATATTTATTTTTCATCATAAAGGAAAAATACATATGTATGTTATCGTAGTAACATTTTACACATTCTTGCTGTTCAGGAACAGAACAATTCATATTAATCTTTTCAGCTGACATTTGTATTACTTTTAATCAATAAATTTCCATTATTTTCTACCAACAATCAATCACTTATTGTAACTTTATATTCTTAACCATGATACTGCCTAAAATCCTTGAGATACCCATTGTCTATTTTATAGTCTGCAATTTAGTACTAATTTTGAACTATTTTTCTCTTGCTGTTCAGGAACAGAACAATTCATATTAATCTTTTCAGCTGACATTTGTATTACTTTTAATCAATAAATTTCCATTATTTTCTACCAACAATCAATCACTTATTGTAACTTTATATTCTTAACCATGATACTGCCTAAAATCCTTGAGATACCCATTGTCTATTTTATAGTCTGCAATTTAGTACTAATTTTGAACTATTTTTCTCCATATTATAAAGGAAAATTCAGTTATCGTAGTAAAAATATTTGTTTTTTTTTTAAGATCTGGAAGCGAGCATCGTTTTATGAATTTTATTCATTTTAAAGCACATAGTCTAAAGACACCTTAACCACGTGCACTCATTTGATGAAGAGAGAAGAGAAATTGAGCACATCAGCTGGCAAAAGTACACGTAAACACTGCCAATTTATTTTACCTACACTTTTATCTGCCATTTTTCGGTTTCCTCTTCATTCGTAATCTTTGGAACGTCTTTATAATTGGTTGACTTGCAGAAAAAAGTTAAGAGTTTTAAAATCGCTGGCAGACTACGAAATTCGCAAAATTATAAAATAAATATGAAGTTATACACAATTCTAATAGTCTTGGGACTATTTACCTATTCCGCTTGGGCAAAAGACACTAGCGAAGTAAAGAAAAATCAAACATTTATAGCCACACATGAATGGCAAGAAATCCCAGAAGGTAGGCAGGCTATAAAGCACGGCATATTTGTTGTTGTTTTTTAATTGTTTATATTTATTTTGTGTTACACGTTCAAGGCCAAGGAATACCACAAGGTCTGCATGTTCGAATTAACTTACAGACGGGGAAAAAGGAAGCCAAACTTTTGGATGAGGCAGATGAGAGTAGTAGTGATCCACTGAAAGTCATGCACAAAGATGGTGCATTATCTGTGTTGCCGGATGAATATGAAACGGTAAAAGAGGAAGACGACGATGACGATAATGATGAGTCGAATGGCAAAGAAGCGGCCGGAGGGAAAGCTAAAAAAGTCAAACATTTAGATGAGGCCCTCAAACGTATTGGCATCGATTATACACCCGAAGAGAAATTGGAAAATATTAAACGAGAATTTCGATCCTATGAGGAGCTAAAAAAGACTTTTGAGGGTATGCGTAAGGCCTTTAAATCGGATGGTGAAATTATCATACAACTGATTGAAGAATTCCATAATGTGACCAAGGATAACAAAGATGTGGAGGCACGTGTTAAGATTCAAACGCAAATATTGGAAAGTTTCAATTATCTTATGTCTCAATATGATAATGCCCAGCTGTTTGTGGAACAGGGCGGGTTAGATCACGTCATATTGCCCACATTGGTAAATCAAACACATGTGGGTTTGAAGGTGGAAGTAATGCGTGTCCTGGGTGCAATGTGTCAAAATAATCCCAAAGTACAAATAAAGGTCTACGAGAGGAATATAGGCTCACATCTCACCCAGATCCTAATGAGTTCTACACGTACCGAGGAGTTGTCTACAGCCTTATATGCATTCAGCAGTTTGCTGAGAAAGATTCCTCATGCCCAACAACGTATTCTGTCGACGTCTGGAACCCAGGCCTTGGTTTCCGTTTTGGGCAAAGAAGCTGAATTGAAAATAAAAGCCAAAGCTGTGACAATTATCAGTGATATAATTGTGGAAAAAGAATTGGTTCTCTCAAAATCCTCAGCAGATGATGATCCCTTGGCTGCGGCCCAATACGCTGAATTAAGTTTTCCCGAATGGCTTGAAGCCAATTCATATTGTGAAACAATGGATGCTCTTGTGACAACAAATCTCTATGAATTCCTGGAGGCACCCGACATTTTGGAATATTTCATAAATGCTCTCGATAATACGAAAACATTTTGTTCACCCCTATGGTCACAGAGTCCACAATTTCGTCACGTCCTACTGACGCTAAGAAATCGTTATTCCCAATCGGAAGATGAATATCGTTTGGATATTGCAAAATTATTAAATAATCTAATAGATAAATTATATCCTGAATCAATTAGACACGATGAGTTCTAAACTCGAAGGGTGTCTCTGTCTCATATAACATTTTAAGAATACTTAAAGGCTGTTTTTTTCCTCTCCTAGAGTTTCTAGTTTTCACCACCTGGTACTCTATATGTTCCAATACCCTTTGTGATTTTCCTAGTGAATAATTTAGTTTTCTTTTTCATTTTAATTTTTGAAGACTTCCTAATTTGTAATTATAGTTTCTACGTTTCGTGAATGTGTGTGTTTTTTTAATTCCTATTTTAAATGTTAAGTTCGGACTGCACAAGAATAAATGTAAAAAAACGACACAAAATGTTTAAAGAAAATATGAAATGAAATTGTGTTTTGGTTTGTTTATAGAATTTTGGGAGGGGGTTATAAAACTCGTAGTTTCGTCTTTAAATGTCCCATTCTGTTGGTTTTTAATAATTCCTTTTTGATTTTCAATAGAGTGGCTTATTTTTATCTGTAAAATAAAACTTATTGTATATGGTTGCCTATGAATGGGTCCTATAAGGACAACTTCTTGCCATAAGGCTTGATATCAAATTTGAAACAATTCCGATGATAATTTTGGATGAAATCATTAAAAAATGAATATCGGAAGTTACCGCTTTATGACGTGAGTCTATAGAAAAACATGGACTTTCATAGACAATGTTCTGACAGTGGAGATAGATGATATTACGAATACTGAAAGAATTTCGTAGAAAAATATGTCTAACACCCTCGAGATACTGTATATCCGTTGCCCACAAAGATTTCCTTTTGCTGCCACATAAATATGTCCTTAAAGTTGCCTTACTGAGAGCCATCTGCCAGGAGAATAAGAAATTAGTATTTCCATGTTTTCACGTTTTGTATCCTCGCCACTGACTTTTGTTGTACAGTAATTTGTTAGCCAAGCCATGAACCAATTATGTCCTTCCAACGAAATAAATGCAGTTGGAATATTTCCAGCAGTTCAGTGATGCTCGAAAACTTCTAGATATATCCCAGTTGGATTTTTTTAAATGAAATTTAAAAATAGGATTATCTGGGCGAATTCAACTCGTTGATTTTGTTAATGTTTTAATAATAATTTCCACAAATAATTATTAAAAATTAATAATAATAAAACGGTGTGACAAATTTCAATTTCATAAAAATTACAAAATTACATTAAAAATTACAAAATCCAGTAGATTATGAAGGCAGACACGTGTATCGGCGTTTTGAAAGCTTACATCGCAAAACAAACATAAATGGAGGCAGCAATAAGTTCCCTCCTTTTCAATACTTTTGGAAATTTACGAATTTAGATTCCTCGGAATCCGTGCATTTTAGGCATATAGTGTCAATCTAGTCCACATTACATTTCGTTTCGAGTTTTAATTTTTATTTGTATACCCTCCACCATAATATGGAGGGTATATTAAGTTTGTCATTCCGTTTGTAACACCTCGAAATATACATTTTAGACCCCACAAAGTATACATATTCTTGATCAGCATAAAATTCTATGTCGATTTAGCAATGTTCGTCCGCCTGTCCGTCTGTGGAAATCACTCTAGTTTCCGAACAAAATGAAGTAGGTTGATAACATTTTACTCAAATGTGTATTATGTCTGCAGGACTTTTGGTATTGAAAATGGGCCATGTAGATTCACGTCTTCGTATAGCCCCCATATAACAGTACCTCCCGATATTCAGTATTTTGATAATTTTAGCGACATTATTTACCGGAATTGTTTCAAATTTGGTATTTGAAGTTCGTAATAGACACTTCGGCTTAAGACAGAAAATGGGTCATGTAGGTCCACGCCTTTGTAAAGCCCCCATATAACGGCACCTCCTGATATTCGGTATTTTGATGTTTTTAGCTACATTATTCACCGATTTTTTTTCAATATTCGCATTTGAATATTGAAATGGCTTATGACAAAAGTTGTCCTCGTCCTATAGACCTTAATATAAGGGCTACATTAGGTATTTTTAAGATTTTAACAGAATTTTTAACGGATTTTGTTTTTTTGAAAATTGCCAAATTCGTTCCAAATTGTGGAGGGCATGCAAAGTTCGGCCCGGCCGACCTTACACCTTTTTATACCCTACACCACAAGGTGGTCAGGGTATTATGTCTTGGTGCATTTGTTTGTAACAGGCAAAAGGAAACGAGATAGACCCATAGTTCCTTTTGATGATCTGCATAGAATCACATTCTGAGTCGATTTTTAGCCCGCATTTATTGCCCTATTCAGATGAAATTTTGCACAAATCATTTGTTTGGCCCAAGGACTAACCCTATTGAAATTGGAGATAATCGGTCAAAATTTAGATGTAGCTCCCATATATATCTTCGTCCGATTTGCCTTTTATTGTGCACCAAACGTGTAATATCAGTCCGAATAGTATGGAATTTTGCATATACAATCAAATTAGGCCTCAAAATAAGTATGCCAAATTTGATCGAAATCGTTCAGATATAGCTATAGCTCCCATATATATTGTTCATCCGATTTGTTATTTTTGTCCACCGCAGCCGTAATATGCACTCTGCAACAACAATATTTGGGGAAATATATCAAATACAGCTCAGAAATACATTTGCTAAATTTTATCGAGATCGGTTCAGATTTGGATATAGCTCCCATATATAACTTCGTCCGATTTATTTTATTGTGCCCCAAATGTCTAATATTTGTCCAAATGGGATGGAATTTGGTACATGCGACCGAACTGACTCTAGAAGCTAGTATGTCAAATTTGGTGAAGATCGGTTCAGATATAGCTATTGCTCCCATATATACTGTTCATCCGATTTGTCATATTTGTTACCCACAGCCCGTAACAACGATATTCAAGGAAATATATCAAATACAGCTCAGAAATATATTTGCCAAATTTTATCGAGATCTGTTCCGATTTGGATATAGCTCCCATATATATCTTTATCCGATTTCAAATTAATTGTGCACTAAATGGGTAATACAAGTCCGAATTTAAAAGATACAAATGCTTCGGCATATTTAGCCATTTGAACTTTATATGATAATTATAATCATAGCGTGTATGATTGAATTCTCCCATGAAAACTTCTAATTGTAATGCGCAGCTCTACTAAATTAGCAAAGTGGTGTAGGGTATCATAAAGTCGGCCCCGACCGACTTTAAGACTTTCTTTACTGGTTTAATTGTTTTTTTTTTTGATTTTTTAAATTAATTTAAAAAAATATCCAAAAATATGGGTTTCAGAAATGTACCCCTAACATTGAGGGGAGGGGGATTTTTAAATTACTGACAGATGACTCTTATTACCTAAACAAACATCGGTTGAAAATTTTACACTTTTCATACATAAAATTTTTTTGAGAAATGAAACAGAGAAACGAGATGGGCTAAGTTCTTATTTCGTCGAAACGTTTTTTTAAGAAAAATATTTTTATTTTTCCAGTCCTTTTTATTTCGTGGATTCTTTAAAAATGTTATTTTTAAAAAAAAATAATTGTATGTCCCACTTATAAACGTGGACGTTTTCAGGATATTTTTAAATTAAATCATTATTTTAAAAACATTTTTTAATCAAATGTTTAACAGCTAAGTCGACATTTTGAAGAAGCGTAAAATTTCTTGGAAAATCGAGTCCTCCAAGAAAAGTCTCCCCCATTACACCATAAAGGTTTTACAAGTAAAATCCCAATTTTATAGGTTATGTTTGTTACCAATAATACCGGAAGAAAGGAACAAAAAAAAAATCTTTTCGAAAACTATGAAGCAGCATAAAAAATTGTAAAACGAATGTAATCCGTTAGGCGTATCCTGTGACACAAAAAAACATGTCCTTATAAAACACAACGAGACAATGGACTTAGTGATGTTTTTTTCAAGAAATCTGGGGCAATTTATTATTTGCTCAACTTGGAAAAAAACATTCTTTTTAAAAGGACATTTTTCGAATGGCCATAAATTTGCGATTTACACACATCTTCTTTTTTTTGTTAAGAAGGAAAAAAAATGTGTAAAAATTTCACAAAGGACGAAATAGAGAGTGCCCAGTTTAGGGGTAGAAAGTCATACACACCACAATTCACCCGCTATAAAATAATTGTGAGCCAGATTGTGCCTCAATAGATGTCCGTAAGACACACCAGCAGCTGATGATGTCCCCCTTAAATGGTGGACAATTAAAGGTCTCGTTTTATAACCAAGAAAAAAATGTAGGGGTTGCCTATGGAGGTCAATAAAAAGACGAAGAAGTCCCAGGTTTACAATCTTTGGCACAAGCGCAAAAAATTATTTTCTGTCCCTATCATAAATTGAATCTGTGATGATACTGCCGATGATGACAAAAGGTCAATTGTTTGCCCATAGAAAATAATGGAGAAAGAGATAGTAACTGTCCAGTCTATCCCATCCAACATTTGGTCGGTTGACAACAAAAGAGAGACGAAACAAAAGCAGTTCTTAGAAGGAAACAAAAAAAACGTTACACGCGTTTGAGGTTACCTTAGAGGTCATTCGAGATCATTATATCCCAAAGAAGAGAAAAATATGTCATTGCATGGAGATGCTATGAGGGCTGCATCTTGGGCAGCAGCAACACCAGAAGGCAAAGGGAGAGCTCAACGAAATAATGCACCTTTTGCCATGCTGGCCAGCCAGTAACGTCAAGATGATCTTAAATGCTCATTTGGCACAGCAAAACACTGAAAAACTTCAAGAGAAAACCTCATTAATTTTCATTTGCAGTTGGCTCAATGTGCTCAACAATTTGGCGCGCTCTCCATGTCCATTGAATATGTTTTCTCTGTTTTGCTCTCCCTTTGTTTCTTATTTCTTTTTTGGGATAGAAATCTCTATTTACTTGGATCACATTTGTTTTAAAATGTCATTTACTGGGATTTGGTCATTGCATTATCTGGCTTATGGCTCTTGATGGTGTTGTTGTTGTTTTTGTTTCTGTTTTTGTAGTACACAAATGAGCTCTCTCAATATCCGTTATCTGTGTGCCAACTGAAATGAGAGCCAAAATCACTGGTTTCATATTCTCCCGTTTTTTCTCTCTCTCTTTCTTTTGAACAGTTAACATCTTGAGGAAGTGGCCAATACTTTACTTTTTGTCCTCATTCCCATTCTTCCATTTTCCACATAATCCCACGTGTGGACAAAAGTGGCCAAAGAACAAAGGATCTGCTGATTGTCACATGCACACAGGACATTTCCGGATTTAGCTGGAAGACATCGAAAAATTGGCAAAAAATTTGAAATGAAATAATCATTTTTGGGAAGAGAGACAAAAAGAGACAGAGCGAGAGAGAGGGGAATAGAAATAGAAAACAATGACCATAGATCAGTTGGC